GCAGCAGCAGCAGTAGTAGTGTAGTACCGCTACCAGTGGCAGTACCAGTAACAGTAGCAGTAGCAGTAGGAGTAGGAGTTGGAGTTGGAGTAAGCATAGAAACGTAGAAGGAGGAGTAGGAGTAGGAGTATGAATAGCAGTATAACAGTAGCAGTAGCAGTGGCAGCTGAGTAGCAGTAGCAGTAGCAGTACTAGTAGCCGGAGTAGTAGCAGTTGCTGCGTAGTTCTGACACTCGACTGAGGCTCAGCCAGGTTGGACCGGTCAGCAAAGGATTGATGTTTCTTTGCGCCTGGGCACAAACTCCATCATGTGTCTACTGAGCTTTGGGTCTGCGGGTCTACGTCCAAACATCGACATGTACAGTCCATGCAGCCCCGAGCTTCGAGCTCAAGTCTTGCAGAGAGGATGTAGAGAGCCGTGATTCACGTACCTGTGCTGCAGTTCGGCGTTGGCAGAGGTACTATGATCCGCTCGCGACGAAACGCCGGAACATCAGCATGTACTTTGCAGCACTCCTGGACGACGAGGACCTGACCAATTCGAGACGATGTCTAGCGACCTTGTGGTCCGTAAACCGCGAAGCCATAGCAGCAGGCGACGGATAGATCTTGACGCTTCCCACGTGTGTGTCGTGCAGTGACATTTCTCGCACAAGCAGAGTCTCAGGACTTTTATGTCGAGTGGGAAGATGAAGCCGTATTGCTCGACACGAGCCAAGTTTCGGTGGACTTTCGTGAATGCAACGAAAGTGACTTGGCCCGTTCGGACGATGTTCGTGTGGATGGCTGTAAAGTTCACCAAAGTTTTTCATTTCATCATGAAGTCCCTCCGTTGTTCCATGTTATGCCACTAAAACTTCTCGGAAGCGGCACAGGCCCGCAGTTCAGTTGATTGCTGCTTGCCATCATTTCAGTGTTTATGTCCGCCTGTCGCAATGCAACACTTCTGAGTGATTTCCCCAGACGCTAGAGAAGGACCGAATGAATAGACTCCTGAGCAGAACATGCCTGCCTCGTCAGACACTGGTCCAGTTTTGCAGACGTTGACCCATATCAGCATTGCAGCCGAAGCTGCAAAGGCGGAGAAGCGTCTGCAAGATTGCCCTTTCAGGAGATTACGAGCCTCTCATGTGCGGATTCTTGATGGTCTAGCCGGTAGGGAGGCTTGATACAAAGGGCGCTCACAGAGTCCATGCAAAGTTGAGAGGCTTTAGGAAGCGGCTCAGGCGAGAAGATGGCCTTCTACGACATCTGCGGTGGGCCGTGGAGCACCAGTCTGGCAAGGGTCTCTTGGCCAAAAGCACTCTACGGGCCTCTTCAACATGAAGTGTTAAGAGTTTCTTTTTTTCCGGCAGGGCCAAGGTACTGAAAGATCACAGGTCCCGTGAGTGCTGAGGGACGGGTTCCTGTGCGGACCTTTGACTGCTCAAATTCTTTGATCCCGAAGTAGGCAGGCGGACCACACAATGTTTTAACCAGTAAGTCGTGTTTCGAGACGAGAATCATCTTATAGATTCGCATGATGTCGCACTGCTCAGGTAACAATGGACAAGTGGATCCCACGCACTCTGATTTCGGGCACTGTTCGATCGACAAACAAGCAGAGCGTATTCAGGACCAACATCCGGAACCATGACAGGAATTGCGATCCCGTTTTCCACCCCAGTAAAGATATAGATCTATCACGACAGTAGGCACTTGAGCAGCGCAGCGACAGACTGTCAGATATCAATATTTAGCATGTTACTGTTAATGGAAACGATCATATTAATATTCTTTACTACTGGTACTATCACCATAACCAGTACTATTACTACCTACTTTTTGTATTATTGTTACTATTGCTCTTACTGTTGCTATTATTAATACTAGTACGATTGACGATTCTATGCATGAGACTATTCTACTCAAGCAGCTAAAGGCCACACGTGCGAAGCTCGCCTTCGGGCCAGAGTGAAGAAGAGAGTCACGCCTGACTGGAGAGCAACCTGGGACTTCAACCCAAATTCATCAAATCCCCAAAAGATCAAATTCCCAGCATCCCGCAGGAATCGCGATGTCACTATTATGACGAATTTTGCAGATGGACGTCTCCAGGCACTACAAGATGTTGTTCGTGAGACTTGCAGTGTGCCCATCTGCCGTGGCAACTTGGACGAGTGCATGGAAGCTGCCTGCAAATTGGATTCCTGCAAGGCGGGACGCAGAAATCAGCATGGTTCAGTAACTGAGTAGCCGATAAAATCTCACTATCAGAGACACAGTCTTGCAGTGAATGTGCTTCGAACGCAATGCACTGGCTGCAAGCTACCTGTCAAAATGCCGTCCAGGAGTGGTGTCTTAATGAGGCTCATCGCTTTTGCACAGAAGATGAGCAGAGACGAGGACTCTTTTTTTTCCAAACCCTCGCTTCGGAATGATCGGAAACGGGAGATGGGCCGAGAAGCCAGAAGCCCAGAAGCCTGCCCGTGAAGCCTCGAACCCGAATGTCCTTGCAAGGAGGACACTACCTGGGCACTGTCATTCCTCGCGGGTTGAGCCCGAGAGACGGCCGCACTTGGTTCACTCGAAAGTGGCTGCCTGGCAGGATGATGTATATTATATATTACATATTACATATTATATATCATATATCCTATATGTTATATTAAGCTGTCACGCAGTCACCATTCACTGTTTCACGGTCTACAGACATGGTACTACGGGGAGAACGGGCAACTGACCATCTCCGTATACGATGATGACTGCAATATCCTCGTCCTAGCAAGTGATTTCGCATGCCCTTTCTGCAGGCAAGAACTGTGACCTATCATGCCCTACACCGCAACAGTTCAGATACAGGACACTGACCTAAAATGCAACTGTTCTGCTGATATAGGTTTCGTGGCTGGATCTACGTCGACATTTTCCCGGAGTTCCGGCACCTTTTCACACGGGAGGTGCAGCGCACTTGTTAAGCATCTGGGTACATGCAGCTATGCTCGCGACCCCTGAGCACGTTTGCCAAGGTCGTTGTCGACATCGCTGAATTTTGTCCATATCGAGCCTTGCTTCGGAATTGGGCTAGATGCGCAGCACTTTGCACATCGCTGGTTTCAGTCGATGAAATCTAGAACGAACAGATGAACGGGATGACATTCTCTCTGGGATAGGATACAGGGCAGCTTTCGATCATGTTACCGAATGCTCAGACTTGCAGGAAGCGGGCTCTTCAGCCTGGTGAGGCTTCGTGGGGATCCATAAACGGGCGCGGTATGTGCTGTGAGAGTTTGTTTTGGGAGGCATCAGATGCTTGATAGCCTTAGCATGCCGGCGGGTTTCCAGATTCTGGAAGCCCTGGTGAGGCTGTCAGACCCTAGTTGAATCTACTCTTTGTGTCATTGAGCGACTCTTGAGCCCGCTGCAGAAACAAAAACAGAGATGTGGAGCTGGACGCGGCGTTTGACCAGAATCCGGCCGCCTGCCAAGCGCATCCGTTCGTGATGCCATGACTGGGCGCCCCCCTTGCCAAGGTTTTGCAAGCCTTGTTTGACAATTCCAAAGAGGACGGGGCGGGTACGTTGCTCCTTGCCGCTCTTCATCGGGACGCCGCAAGACCAGTGGGTCCGGCTCACCTGCCACTGAATTCCGCTCCGAAGGACTTCATCAAAATGCTACCCCTGCCGGTGGTAGCAATGTACAAGCCAAAGCTAAACGGCCTGCTGCTGCCTGCCATCAGTCCGCACAGAATAGGCCTAGCCTAGAATAAAGAGGCCTCGTTGAAGAGCTGAAGATCCGCTTAGGTCTGTCTGGCGACGGATCCGAAGTCAAGCCTCTTCAGCATGGACCTTTTCACGTACTTCGTAGACAAGATGATAGTGGAATCTCAGTCCACAGACAGAGATGGCTATAGGGCAGCACCTCTCCTGAATTCTTGACCACGTCTCCTGAGTGCTTGAACACTGAAGTTTATCTCGTACGCAAATCCAAACATGTGTTATGCTCTCGCGAGTGCACAGGCGTCTAACACCTTGGATGACCTCGTGACATGCGTTCACAGGCCAGGTTTCGTTTCCTCGCTTTCGGCCGCGGCTGGGTGAGAGTCATCTTGCTGTACAGGAAAGGTCGCTCGTTCAAGCCGTTTTCTTCATCCCAGTGTCGTGGCTCTGCGTCTTTCCATTTGCTGCCGGCCTCTTGGCAGACATTCAGCAGTTGGCGATACTCGAGCGAACTTGTCGGTCCGTCGTGGTCTGACATGTGTTCCTTGTTTCAGAAGAAGAATGTTTTAAGCTCTATCAGCGCAATGCCTAGTCATTGTCGAACTGTGGCATGTCGACTGGGGATGGGCTTCTCGAAGTGCCTGTTCCGTCAGCCGATCGATTGTGAAAGAAACGGCACGGCATCCCGGATGCCGGAGGAACCATCCTCAATCAAGAACGGAGATGCTGGAGCAAGTCGAGCAAGATAACGGATAACGATACACAGAGCTTCTTCAGAATCAGATGCGAACGCCTTGGCTCGGTTTATGCTGGTCTTTGGTCAAAAATGCATCACAGTGTTGGTTGAGCCGAGATGCATAGTGCCACTGGCGCTCGCTTCTCGGATATCCGACTCGATTTATTTTCTGGCTCCATCCATGACATCCCGACTGGTACCTCCGTACATATGCGTGAAATAAGTTGCTCAAAATGTCGAATAACGATATGCAGAGCTTCTTCAGATGTCCAAGAATGTTGCAATGCACAACATTCGCACGCACGCGCACGCACGCGCACGCACGCACACGCGCACGCACACGCGCGCGCACGCGCACACACGCACGCACACACACACACACACATTCCTTCCACGGCTTGCCACCTGAAAACTACGGAAAGTAGCTCCTGAGAAATACTGAACATGCAGCGCCAACACCCTAAACACACTGCATAGGAGCGAATGTGGATTCTCAAATACTGTTGCTTGTCAGCTTTGCCATGTGCATCAAGTGGTGCGTCCCATACCCGCAGTCGTGGTACCAGGAACACAATTGAGAACGGTAAAAAGTAATTGCAATTTCTTCATTTGTCTTGACTCGGGGTGAGACTTTACATTAGTCATTAATTCAGAGAGTTGTGCGACTTGCCAGTGAGCTCACACGACGACGAATCAAGCCACTTTCAATTCTGCGATGGGCATGGGCAACCTAAGGATGGAACAAAGCCATCACTGCTGAGCTTGGCACCGAACGAAGAGGTCTTCCAGAGTCTGGTGCACGCCCCCTGGCAGCATGCCGTCGCAAAATTGAGACCGCACACATGCCCCTGCTCTGCTCCTTGCAAGATGCAGTGGTCGAGTCCAACATACGGAACCTGTCGACCACATCTGTGAACGACAGCTTAAGCCCGGGCAGAACTTGATGAGGTCCAGGAAAAAGGTAGAGACCTGCCCCAATCGCAAGAACCCAGGCACGCTGAGTTCATGTCGGTCAAACCCCCCCAGTGTCTGTTTCCCATATCCGGCGAGGTGGCTTGAGGGAAGGTTCCCAATGTCACAGCAGCAGAGAGTGTGTTGAAAGACAAGCTCAAAGCCGAGAGTCACTGAGCCGAACTAGGTACTGCAGGGATCTCGACCACAGCTTCTAGGTGCCCTAAGGCATCGCCGGTTAGCAGACGGCGCTGCCAGGGCGCGCACACTGGGGGATAGCTGCAAAACATAACTTCATCCCCAAAGTTAAGCTACCCACGTGGTAGTGATACGCATCAGCGGCACTTGGCATTTCTAGAATGACAGCCTTTGCACAGAACAGGCTAGAAGTACAGTAGCAGGATCATGAGTCATGGTCCATTCGATTGCTACCCTTTGGCAGGCTCCGAGGCTCTGGGGGCAGTAAGATCTCAAAAGCTGCAGCGCTAGCCTTACTACCTCCCTGCAAAAGCGAGGTATGCAATGTGTCTGGCGTGCTAGAGCACGACAAGACCGTGTTGCACTTGGCCGCAGAGAAGCAGTATGACTCCGCGATGCAGCTTGCATGCTGGCCCGCATCAGATCAAGTTTTATTCTTTCCATGTTCTGACTCGCATCATTGAAGACACGGATGCGCCTAGACGCGAGTGAGGGACTGTCATGCTGCTCACGTGCAGCGTCGTGCGAGCGCACAAAGGAGAGTGCCCATCTCACCTGTGCTCACGTCGATGCTTCATTTGTTGTCTTGAGGTTTTCGCGCAAAAGAGGGAACGGCCCGATGTCAATGCTGGGTACTCCGCAACTCGGTCGGAGGGCAATTTAAAGGTGCACGTAGACGCCATCACGGCGCTCCACAACGCGTGCGAGGGAGGCTGCCCTGTTTGCGTTCAGCTGCTTCTGGACCACGGAGCGAACAAGGAGGCAGTCACCGACATGAAGGCCTTCCCCGCTTGGTTCGACGCATCCATCCACCCATGGATGTATGAAGCCCTGGCAGATTTTCGTGAAAAAGGCCACAAGCAGTTCAGATATCCAGTTCTGGTGAATGTGCGACCAATCCACTTGGCGGCGAAACGTCAGTGCAAACAATGTGTGGAGCAGCTCATGCAGCATCAGGTGGATATCAACCAAGCAGCACGTCTTGGCTACGAGCACAGTTATTACCAGCGCAGCAGCAAGACCGGGAGTTACGAGCAGGTGAACATGATAGGAGCGGATGCTTGCTTTTTGAAGCCTTTGGACCTTGCCTTAGCCTTCGGCACCCTGGAGATGGTGAGTCTATTCGTGGGAGCTGGCGCAGACATGACTAGTATCACGGTGGATTCGAAAGCCAAGCTACTTAACAATGCAGACTTTCTGAAGAGGCTGGACATCGTCAATGCCACCCAGAAGGCACTACAAATAGGTCGGTGTCAGCACTGGAAACTAGCCGATGCCAAGGGGGAGAAGAAGCTCTCTCCCGGTCTTCTGCTGCATCTCTTCTGAGACCTGGGCCATCCTGGGCCCCTGGGTTCCTTTTAGCTGGGAATGGGCAGATGGAACTTTGCATGAAGCCGCCGCGGTTATCGAGAAGCCCTTGTCAGGCATGTTGGATCTACAACCGCCCTTGATGCCTGACCCGTGCTTGCCATGCAATGTTGAAAAGCCAAGCCATGCCTGTGGCTGGAGAGAAGGATCAGGGATCAGGAGCATAGTGCCTCACAGTGTGCATAGCCACGCCTCTACCCCCCCGCGCTTCCTCACCTATGTGATGGTTGTGCTGGTTTACCGGAACTTGCCCAAAAGATCTTCGGCGCGTTGTGGGCCTGACATGAAACTTATCCGAAGTGAGTGATCGCACGTCAGGAGACCGTTCGTCAGAAGTCGGAGCCTGAGGACAGCCGGCATGGCCAGGTTTGCCTCCTTTGAGGCGTTCCAGCTGATGATAGTACAGGATGCCGGCTCGGCAAAGATCATCGTGAAGGGCTTCATGCCCCACAAGTTTTGTTTGTGCGTGTCTGTGTTGAGTTTTCGGTGCTGTCCAGGCTAGAGGTGTTGAACCCGCTATTTCGCACATTGCTGTTCGAGCAAGATCCAACTGCAGCGAGCAATTCGTTGACTTGCACTTGTGGTATTGAGTTCGGCAGAACCTTGTTTGGGCCTTTCTGCAAGGCAAGAGGAGTTCTTGCATGCAGTGAAGGAGGAACTGGTCCGTGTGCGCCCAAGATCTCACAGAATTCACGACGATGCCACATCGAACTTCACTCTTGCTGCAAAGGAGTGGGACATTGGTACAAGGACCAAGTGACGGCCCTTGAGGCTGGCGGACAATGCACGACAGGAGGATCCTCAAACCCTGAGAGATTGCGGCTTTGAAGGGTTTTCGCCAGGCTCCTGGAAGACAAGGTCTTGCCAGCGGCGGGGTAATGTGATTGCACCCCATCAGAAGTGCGTTTGCAGCACCGAGATCAACGAATATCCGCAACCCAGAGCGGGGCACCAAATCCAAAATGAAGAGGGCGCAGGGACATCTGATGTGGAGAGGCGGCACAGGGACCGACAGGCACATGGCTCGATGGATCTTTCGTCTGGAACGCAGCTGAGGTTGAACTGGTGTGTCTGTTGAATCTTCCGATTCACGACATGTACCTGCAACAGGCAAGATCAACATCTGTTCAAGGATGGTCAGCATGAAACGAGGAGTGCAGGATTGTAGATCTTGTGGGCGAGTTCGAAGAGGCTTCAGCGGCAATCATCCCGAAAACAACTTAGATTAGCTCAAGGTGCAAGGTAACGTCACCTGCCGTGCACTTCCACCGTCTGATTTCCATGTTGCCGGTTGGGCTGAGTGGACATGCGGGCCTTTTCTTTTTCAAACTGCGAGGGGCCCACAGTCTCCAGACGAGTAGACATGCATGCTTATGTTATGCACATAAGTGCTGTTGGCTGGGCCGACAGGCAGAGGTGCGACGCCTTTCCGGCGAAGATGGTGCGAGTCTCGGGGTAACGAAACTGAAGATCCCAACTGTGTCGTGAAGTGGTCAACTCGTTTGGGCGGGCGCCGAGGGCCTGGCGTCGGCGATGCGGCCCTCACGAATCTGGCGAACCAAGGCCGGGAGCCAAGGCCACCGCTGCAACCTCCTTCCATAGTTTTTTCTGAGGTCCGGCCGACATCGAGAAGCTTCACCTGAAGGTGAGACCCCATGTGCAGTCCTGCAGTCCGCAGGCACCTCGAGATGGCTCTTGATGCGTGCTCGAGGCCGTTCGCTTGACCGAATTCGTGCTTCTGAATGTGGAAGCCTTGCGCAAGATCGTGAAAAAGATGGACAAGACAGAGCCTGAGGAGCTGCGACCAGGGATCAGTTGCAACACTCATGAACTGCTCAAATTGAGGCAGTGTGGGACCAGCTGGCAGAAGGCAGGGGTCGGTTCAAAGTTGTAGGACTTCTCTGAGTGCCTGGCCTCTTCTGAGACCACGATGCAAGATGTTGCTGCTACTACGGGATTGAGACAAGCGCATTGGCTCAGGTCTTCGTGGAGAGAGACCTCAAAGACAGTCCGCTGGCCACCAACTCTGCGCAGCCTTTCAACGGGGTCCGCCGTGCCAAGCATTGTCATCTTTCGCGGCTTGTTTATCCCTGGTTGTTGCTTGCCAGACTTTCTGACAAGGCACTTGTTGCCGCCTTTCCGGTTGTGCATCTACGTTGTTGTCCTGTTGCCCCTTAAAGGAGCAGTGTTTGCTGAATGCTTGCGCTGTTTGTGGTGTGTCCAGTGGAGAGGAGAGCCAGACATGACTGAAGCCAGGAGCGTGCCAGGGCGTGCCGCCGGGCGCTGGAGGAGCTAGTAAGCCCAGAGAGGCCGGCTCTTGGCATCGGGTTGCTTTTTAAAATCAAGGGTTGTATTGTTGGTTTTTAGAAGAACTTAAACGTGTCGAAAGAGCACCCTGCGCCCTGGGAGGCTTCAGGAGATGCGGAGCAGGGTCTGGGCCCTGCTCGGCATTGAAGGGCATGAAGGGCTAAGCCCAGGGGCTACCTGTACAGTAACTCCGAGGTGAGGAAAAATGGATACGGAAAAACGCAGGGCAGGAACAGCTGAGATGATGAGCCACCAAAAACGGTTCTTCTTGGAGCACATTTGTGGCTGTGTGATACACCATATTCTTGCATTGAGAGCTGCAAATTATTCAAATTAGCGTACTTACTGACAGTGTGGGACGAGGTTCATTGTCGAGGAAATACAAAAAGCGGATCTGCAGTGTAGATCTGGCGTGAAACAAGAACATCCGCCGGAGCAATGCCCTTCAGTGCACAGCACTGAGGCCATGGAGTCGGGTGGTGTTGGGCTTTCGACGATGCCATGGTCCTGGCCCGAAGCCCAGTGTACCAGACGTCTCGAACACAGCAGATTCCGGCTCCCCCATCCTCCGACAGCTTCCGGGTCAAAGATGCGTGGGCTCACGGCCTCCAGTTGACCAGCCCAGACTTCCGCTGCACGACTGACCGAACCGGAGCGACAAGCCGCACTCGGGAGACTTTCAGTTTTCGAACTCAAACGCTCATACTTTTCCCCTTGTGCTCTGGTCCTTCAGAAGGCTTCCTATCGAAAACGGCTTGAAGCTCACCAAGTTTGCGAAGATCCTTACGCAGCAACGGTACAACATTTGTGCTGATGTGGGGTTTTCAGGCTGACAGTTTTTCCTAGTGCGCACAGCGCGCACGAAACGTGGACCGGAAGTGTATGCTGCCCTGGGACGAGGAGAGGAGACGGCACTAGGATGGCAATTGCAGAGTTCTTCGTCGTTCGTCAACCGACTCTTGAACATCTCCAGCAGGATGATATGAAATGTGCGCTTGGCTTGCTCTTCATGCTTCGGATCAATCGTTGTTTACCACTTGCATCCTCGCCTTTGAGTGGCTTCTTGCCGAGGCGGCGGACGCTTGTGGCCGTCGCACTTGCAGGTGCCGCACTGAAGTGGCCAGCACCTCAATGAGCTCGGCTGATGTTATTGTCAAAGTATTCCTTTGTGCTCGTCCCGCCGGCTATCTGACCCGGTGGTTGCAGTCACTGTTCAGGTCAGCTTTTCGACTCCCCGACGAGCCCAAATGCCAGCGGTGCTTGGGCCTGATGATTTTCACAATGCTGATGTGGGCCAAATGCTCAGAAAGTCGCGCCTTTCGTGTCTTTTCGGACATTTTTGCCCTCGACCGGAAGGTCTTGGAAGCCGCCCCCTTCGAAGCGACGGCCATGCTTCCCCGGCGGGTTTGAAACGGTGAGTCGTGCCTGAAGGCTTGGTTCCTCCGTGACAGGCTTGTGGCGCCTTTGGCCGTGTGGCTGGATGTCATGGAAGGCGATCGCCACGAGCAGGCTGCGGCTGTGCTCCATAATATAATATAATATAACATAATATAATATAAGATAATATCGTATAATATAGTATAATATAGTATAGTATAGTATAATATAGTATAATGTAGTATAATATAGTATAATATAATACAATATAACAATGCTTTCCTCGACCTGCGGCTGAGCGCAGTTGCGAGGCCAAGCTGCTCCTTGCTGCCGTCTTTAATGACTTCCTGGCAAGTTTCGGGCACCACGTCTACGCCCACGGGTCACCATCCAAGATCCGCTTCTGCCGTGGGTGTCTGATCTTGTAGATGTGTGCCAACCCCCCAATCTACTCCAACCGTAGATGCAGCTAACAGCTGTGCAAGTAAGCAAGACGCTGCCCAGAGCAGAATCGTAGCTGCTATCCATCTGCCAGGACTCCTTGTACTTGGTCCTCTCGGGCTTCGTGATGAGCTCCATTTTCTCGAAGTGTCAGCTCGAGCTTCGTAGAGCGCTCAGTTTCCAGCAGAGTACATCAGAGTACAGACAGGGTGTGACGCTCCAGAATTCCTGCTATGACCGGATAGGCTCCCTCAATGCTGCGATAGCTCCTCCACACCTGCTGCCTCCCTTGTTTTCATGCATCTTGCGCACTTCCAAACTGCACATTTCCACAGTGATGCGGCGCAGGGGTGTCCGGTCGGATCCAAAAGGGAGATCACCAGTAAAGTGAAAGTGGTCCAGCAGATGTTCTTGCGGCTGCTTTTGACTTGCTCGCACCAAATTCCAGATGGGCGGTGCGAAACCGGTCGCTGAGATCAGACTGCTGTCAGCACAGAGACTCACCATCCAGGGCACAGCCGCAACGGTCAACCTACTGCCGCCAGGTGCCGCAGCTCTTCTGCAGAGTTGGTTGGGCCGGAGGTGCTCTCTGAGATGCTCTGAGCGTCTCTGAGCTCTTGCTTTGCCAGATTTGGAGGCCAAAGTGCTTCATGCTGGCCATAATGATCCTGGGTACGGCTCCTGGTTCGAAGTCCCGTGCGTTGTTGGCTGGCCGCGCTTTCCAAGGCGTGTTCCTCTCCGCGCTGCTCTCGAATGTGCAGGGCTTGGCAGCGGTACCGACACATCGAGACAACTTCCGAAAGCATTAATGACATCCGAGCTGGCTCTCGTGCAGTCAGCTCCAACTCAGGATATTCGTTTGAGCAATGAGCCCAGTTTGGTGTATGCTCTCCATGACTTCCGGGCATTGAGCAAAAATGCATTGAAGTCCTTTTATCTTCGCGTTCTCCTGGTATGAGTTTCGGTGCTGGTAGGACAGAGTTTCTACAAGTGCTTGCGTTCACCGTCCACACATCAGTGCTCGTGTGAGTCTTTCACTGTGTACGGGTAGTATAGCACAAGCTCGCCAAAGGAAAAGGCCCCGGCAAGATTTCAATTTCAAATCTTCATGCTCCCAGAGTTGTTCTTCTCTGGCTGTTCAAGAGCGCGCCGGCGGAAGCGGCGCTGAAACCTGTTTGCCTTTGTCAGAAGTATCCAAGCCTTACCAAAATTTGTTTCGACTGCCGTGAAGGGCTCCTTTGACGCTAAACGTTGTGCCTCCCACAGGCATCGTCATAGGCAACTGCAGAGATGGGTTCAAACGGCACTGGAAATCCCGACAGAGACAGTGCAGTGCAAGGTTACAGCCCCTCTGCTCATGGTGGAAGTGCTCAAGCCACTCATACGAGACTTGCCCACTGACAGCAGGATCCTCAGAGCCTGAGAGAAAGTCTCCCACCCGTAAGCACCACATGGCCAGCCCTGCTGAGGCCGCTACTCACGGGCGCTGCTGTTGGGTCTCGCATTCTCATGCAATGCTGGACATCCCAGCATCTTCGTAGGACTTCAACTTGATCTGCCTCGTTCAAGCTCAGGTGGGTGGCATGATGACGCCCATTTCATCGCCACAAAACGTAGCATCGCTGGAGGCCTCATGTAGCCTGAAGATAAAGACCGACATGTTCTGATGGGAAGACCCCCGCAAGCTTGCGGATTCAGGTCGGTGTCCGCCTCATGGAATCCTGGTTGGCTGTTCACTTGCAAACCCGCAAACCAGGCCTTGCGCCAGCATGGCAAAAACATCACCTGGGGGGAGTGGCGCGCTCCCCAGCTCAGCTGCGGATAGTACTGTTACTATAATATACTGTACTATATTATCATATACCATACATTACGAGCTGCTCTCGGCAACTTGGAGCATTCTGGTGGCTTTTGGTGGCTGTGAGGTTATGCCTGAGCGCGCCGTTCTGCTTCTTGGCCGTCGTCATGGCTTGGCTCATGCGACTCTGGCTCTGTTGGGGATGTCAGGGGCCAGGCGGAGAGCTGCAAGCCCAATTTGTAGCAGACGAAGCCAGTTTCAAGTTTCAGTCTTCGACTTGTCCAAACCGATCCCACGGATTGCGTTTGCTTCTTGGAATCCGTGCGAATTCCATGCCGTGCTCGGTCCAAGACCTTACTTAGACATCATTGACGTCGTTTGCAAGTCTTGTGTGCTTTCATGTGAGATATCCGAGTGCACCAGACTTCTGCAGAATCTGCATCCCTGTTAACCATTTTTGCAAATCGAAACAAGATGACAGTCATTGATCACTAAGCTCCCTTCATGCTTCGTTTTCGGGCTCTTGGGTTGGATGGGTGGTCCACGGCAAAGAGGTTGGGCTCCCGTTCACCTCCCTTCATGTTTGCTTTCTGGCTCCTGGGTGGGATGGGTGGGCCGGGGGCTGGGCTCCCATTCAGCTCCCTTCATTCGAAGCCCGCTGCCGAAAATTCGGGACAACGGAGAGCTAAATGCCAGACTGTTGCTGGTGTACCAGTTCGATGTTTCTGCGGATGAGGCAAGAGGGGAGCTATGGCTAGGGCCAGGACAGCTCGTGATGGTAGCAAAGTCAAAGTCTGATCTCATGCCATTGCTATGGTACATGCAACATGACTTGACATGACGCGTGGGTGAAAGCTCCAGAGGCAGCCCGCAGTGCCCGCAAAGGCGACTCATCGTCCCGCCATGAGCTTGGAAGTCTCTCGATGGACAAAATCCCATTGCTTTAGGAAGCAAGCAGGAGACACGGGCCGACTTGTCACGCGTCGGGCTTTCAGAAAGTTCAGGTGGAATCCCACCGGTGGTCTTCGATCGGGAGGTGGGCACCCTTGACTTCCAGCTGCAGAGAGTGGTGAAAGCGAAGTAGCATGTGGCTGAGGACATGTCCTATGAGAAGCTGCTGCTTTTCGTCGGGGCAATCGTTACACTTGTCGCATTCGTGCGATCCTCAAGTTGGGTGTGGTGCGGCGCCCTTCCATCCCAGCTCCCTGACAGTGCCGAGGCCAGCGCCCAGGCAAGGGTTACACACAGTGCAGGGCTTGTAAGACTTGCCGCAGTGCTGCCGCAGGCAGCTGCCACCTTCGGGGGCACCTCTTCCATTGCGTTGCTCTTCGTAGCAGGAGCCCAAGGGACGTCTCCTTCTGTTGACATGTTCACTCTTCCACACGGTCAGGCAATCTGCGTGGGCACTGGCGGAATCTCTCGGCCTTCACCTTACCAGTATCCTTTGCATGCATCCCCATGTGCTAGTCAAGGAGGGGCGCTTTAGCAGCCTTTGCAGTGTGCTGTGCAAGAGGCAGACGTTTAACTCCTACAGCTGGCACCTCCTCTTCCTCATCGGGGGTGGCAGTGCTTTAGGCTGGATGCCTAGTGCCGGCCCCGTGTGCTCTGCGAGACCGCGTTTTAGGCCTGGCCGTTCGTCAGAGTGGCTTGCTGAAGCTGGTCACGGAGGTGGTGAGGAGGCACCGCTGAAGAGCGCATTGTCAATGCAATGCATTGACCGTGGATTGCGCTGTGTGTTACTTACTGAAGCCTGCTTTGCTCAGTGGCCTGTCGTCCTCTCCATGGCAGCTCGTGGCGGAGCTGATGCTTGCCCGGACCTCAATCCCCGACCCAAACGCGTGGACACGTTGTAGCCGGCCGCTCTCAGGTGCTCGTGGGCGCAACGACATTCGTGTCCCACACCGTCATCGACCTAGCAGACATCCGATCATCCGGTCCAGTGAGGGGCAGCGCTGATTAGCCGAGGTAGCTGCTCTCGTCTTGATGCCCTTAGCAGCGGGCCGAGACTTGAAGCTATGAAGCCCAGTTCAGCAGAGGATCAGCTGCAGGTGGTTGAGTTGGGCGAGGATGCTGGGGTTGAACGCCTGGCGGTGTTGCTGGGAGCAGCTTGACTACAGATTCGTTCTTCGCGATGCTTCATGTGCTTTTTCGCCGTCCTTAGGCCTTTGCTTGCTCAGCAGCCTGCGCTCTGCCCATGACTAGCTTCCCCAATGCTCGTACCTCAGCCCCTCTGCATCCCACTTTGCTGTCCTTGTTGCTCTGACAGAGGTGAACTCTCTCATAGCGGTCGATGACCGTGGAAAGCCCTGGCTGTCCGTGAAGCATTTCCTTATGGTGCGGGGTCGAAAGGGTACCGAGGGATTTCGAGGGTTGTTAAAATGCGACGAGGATACTGTGGACACGCGCCGGGAAGTTGAAGCATCTCGCTCTGGAGGCGGGGATCCCAACTACCCTCGCGCTGACTCTCCTTCTGATCAGTGCTGGTCGCGCCCCTGGCATGCTGCAGCATCGTCTTCAAGAGGGTAAAAGACGGACGAGTGATGCAAGACATCATGCGCCTGCATACAGGTGCAAGCGTTCTTGTGCAAAATGAAGTTCCAATTTTGCGGGAGTCTGCTGAGGTTACAAGCTGGGAGTGTGGGTGCTGAGCTGACAGCCCAAAGCCGTGGCAGTGTTAATACAATTGTTGGGACACTCTGGCAGCCGTGTGGACCTTGACCGGATCTGCCATTCGAGGGCTTCCGTGTGGAACTCACTACTGCAACGAGGTTTAGTTCAACGCTGGGTCTCCGTCCAGACAGGCTTTGCTGCTTGTGCCGAGTCGTGGTTGCCTCAAGTGCACCACCGATTGATTTATATCGAAATCCCAGCAAAGTAAATGCAGAGCGGCTCCCTCAGCCTTCGTAGAGGCGCATTCGTTTGTCTGCTTGGATCCCTTATCAACTTTGATCCCTTGTCAACCTTTGCAAGCTTCTGAAAAAAGCTTGGCCAGTTACTTCAAAACCAGCAGGTGCAATGCAAAAGCGCACAGCCACAACAGGGACCTGTGATGTTTCTTCATACCCAGTACCAGATTTGCGAAGGTCGTGACTGGACCGAAACATACATTAACAACACCCTTGCTACTTTGCCATGGTCTTGCCGATCGTGGAGGAGATTCGGCCGTTAGCAACTGGCAGTGCTCCCAGCGGCTTTTGCTGTTCGCTTCTGCTTGAGCTTGAGATAGGCCGAAGGAATCGAGGCAGGTGCTGGCCAACACCCGGAGGCCTCCCGGCACGGGCGCAGGCTGTCCCTAAAGGCTCTGGGCGATGGAGGCAGGACATAGCGAGCACCTCTCGATGCCTCAGTGTGAAAATTACGAGCCGGGCCAGGTTTGCTTCCAGAAGCTCGGACTGCGACCTACCAGACCACTACACGGAGCTGAAGGACTTGACGTGAGACAACTCACGCACGCAAGATGTACAATGTACAAGTCAGTGTGCTGTTGCGATCTTGACTGCACCGAATGGCGATATCCGGGGAAGTGGGATGAAGGGTCGGGGGTTGGATGGATTGCAAGGATTTGAGGATCATGCAACTCCCAACAGGAGCAGGCAATGTGCTCCTCGATCGAAATCAGCAAGTGACTTCGGCACCATTGCTCTTGTGCTTTCGGTTTGGAGCTACGCATATGGAGCTTCGGGGTTTAGAATCGGTCACGGGGCAGCGAACTCTTAACAGCGCGTTGTGCCAATCTGATCTGAGCCGTAAGCAACACGGTCCCGACATGCTTCATGCCGCTATGTTTGCAAGACTTGCGCCGTGCCAGGCTGAAGGGGCAGACATTCGAAACTGTGCCGAATGGAAAGCTGATGGCTGTCAACCAGAGACCCTTGTCATGAGTCGAACGGTTTCTTTGCAGCCTGCCACCAGCATGCACCTGGCGTGGATGCTCATGCAGCGCCTAGCAAGGATGCATGGTCTACGTCATGAAAGACGGCTTTTTGCGGGTCATCAACCAGAGCGGCATCGCCCAGCACCCAGGTACTGTGATTTGGTCGGTGCATGTCGACAGTATGGGGTCTGGGTGTGGTATGGGTCTTTGTTTCGAGTGTCAATGCAAGGATCATTTCAAGCTGGCGAAGTCCTCGAAGGTGCACCCTGCGAGCACTGCAACGAGTCACTGCGATGCAGTCGTGTACACTTGTTTCACTCGAGCCGTGTTGAAGTTGGGACTTGATCTGAAAACATGGTGCTGGATCCAAACGCAGGCTCGGGTGCTCGACGTTGCACTGACCAGGGACGCATCGGAAACGAAGGCAGGCCGTCCGGGAGGTCAGGACGGTCAGAGAACGGGCTACGTGGGCGTTCGACCCCTGCCACCAAGTTGGAGGAATGGATCAACATTGAAAGCACACAGAAGTGGCAATCGAGAAGACCTGGTAGTGGCTGGACGTGTGGCTCTGCGGCTTGCTTGATTGCCGCCCTCACCTGCCAGGACAGCCGCGAGGATTCCACCCACATTCTGGTGTGTGGTCAGCCCAGCTTCTCATACGATCAGCAAAGACCCACAAAAGCACGGTCAGTCTTTATCCGAATCCTTCTGCTGCTGCTGTTGTTGATGATGCTGATGATGATGGTAGCGATGGCATGATGTCGTTATCGTCATCTTTGTCGCCATCGTTATCGGCACCACCACCGTCGTCACCGCCGGCGCCCCGCGGCTACCTGCAACATCACCGTGGCCTCCGTGGTTGTCATAGCTTACACCGGGAGCATCTTTGGGCTTGGCGGCCTTGGTTCTAGGGCTTAGGGCAGTTTAGGGCAGTTTAGGGTAGGGAGGAAGCAGAAAGGACTGCATCTTGCCATACGAGGGCTTGTTGAGATCTGCGGATGCTACGTTGGGCAGCACTTCTGGCTGCAGCTTTGTCGTCATGCAAGAGCTTGAACTGAACTGGTATTGTCCTGCACTGATGTTCGCTGCATGATGTAGGACCCCTCAAGTCATATGTCCATAAGCCATGGAGACTCCACACAGGGTGACGGGGCGTGGACAACCAAAAGGAAGCTGGCAGTGGTCGTAACTCTCCTTGACCTGTCGAGAAAGGACCCTGTCGGAGTATCTTGCGAGGCTTGGATGAAGCCGGTTGCGTTACGGTCTTCTTTGTCGAGGCTTGCCGGTCGCCAAGACGTCAAAGATCTCGCACGTTGACGTTCAAGCCGGGAGGCCTGCCGGCAAGCGCTGCCCGGCCGCCTGTGCGAGCCCCAGCCGGCGTAGAGTCCAAACGGATTGGTTCCGAAGGATTCCTTTCTGTTCCTTCAGACTTGTTTTGCTTAATGACTAAGCACTCGTGTCGGCTTTGCTAGTTGCAGGCAGCAGATCGAAGTCATGCTGAGCAGCTTGAAGCCATGGCGGCTGGCCATGCACCCAAAGGCCAGTCAAAGCATGTTGCCACGGCCTTCTGGTCACTGCGACTAAGCCAGGACAGCACTTGCTATGTCACAGTGCACTCGACTGCCCTCCGACTCTGGGACGTCACGCGGCTGCGTGCGCAATGCAGCGTGGCGGTCCAAGCAGTTTCCGATGATTTCTCAGAGCCTTCTCCAGATGATTTGGCTGACTCCCTGATGATTTGGCTAGGCCCACGGCCCCAGCGCGAAAGTCTTCTCAGACCCGGAAGACGCACATTGCTGCGACGTGGCTCACTTGCCCAAGGTGCGGTGTAGAGCTCAGGCTAGCACTAGACGACTGGTAGCAGGCTTCGAATCTAAGCCGGACAATGCCTTCAGACACATGAGCTGCTGGAAGGTGACGGCCCATATGGGCGCCGATCCGGAGGCAACGCTGCTTCGTGTCGGATATAGGATGATGCGAGAGTAGGCCTAGGTGCCAGACAGGCTTCTCAGACACTTAGGACTTCATTTTGAAAGCACAAAGTGCCAGAACCGGATCCTCGACATCTCCTTCACGGTTGATGGCACCTGCATTGCCGCCATCACCAAGGTGATTAGCAAAAGGCCCATGTACTGAGCTGTGGCTTGGGCCTCGCTGACTAGGACTGCCTCTTCGTGTGGCAGCTCGCCACCTTGGGGCGACAAGGCATGGCACTGGCCTGCCTCTCCCGTCGTCGTGCCTTCTCCGACGGCAGGACTTCGACTCATCCAGCAGCTCACGATCGACACGGCCACCACTCAGGCCGCCGCTGGGATCTTCGGACTTAGACACGCCTTGAAAGGATTCGGACCGTGCGCAGGTGCGGGACATCTGGCCAGATGGCCCTGCCTCCATCCGTTTCTTGGCAGAGCGCCAACGCAGCGCGGAGGTCGAGGCGTGCGGATTTCTTTCAGCACGCTCCTTTGCAGCAGACTCTGCTGTCCAATCGCTGAAGTCTAGTGTCGCGGAGAAAATTGGACCCGCCTGTGGTTCTTCGAGTTCGCCAGGCAATGGTACTGGCTGGGGCCGATGGTTGCAATCTGGCGGTCTACGCGTTCACCAGGGGCAGCACCCAGCCGGCGGGGCCTCCCTGTATACAAACTTCACAGCCAGTGAGTACCACAACACGCGAAGGTCTTTAGAGAGTTCGTACTCCAGGTGTTTGGCATCTAACATACGGACTGAATGGCAAGCGGTACTGTATAACTCGCTGTCCCGTTTTGGGTCTTGCCAGAGTGGGTAAGATAATTCAAGATCTGCCCCTGCATCCCGAAAGCTGGTACCGTCCGAAGGTCGGCCAGCTTTTGCAGCATATCTGCTTTGGCAACCCAGGCCAAGGGCCCAATTCTCACACCCCTGCCCGGGCACAAGAGTCGCCCGAGGCTCCGGCATGAGGGCCGTGCTGGAGGTCGACACCATCATGTGTGGGCCCTGGCCGAAGCGACTAATGCAGCAGGTTCCAACATCCGACTCCTTCTATATGGCAGAGCCCAGGCACACGACCCTGGCCTTGACATTTGGCAAGCGCAGCTGCTCCGCGGTGCTGCCGTTGGCAACTCACTTTTCTTCGTCCTCAAGGCTAGGACAGTGCTATGGACTCGCCCAGAAGCTTGGGATCCCGTTGCATCCAGAAGATTCCAACTTGTCCTTAGCTCCCTTACTCCAGCAAGATGTCTGCTAGGATCGCTTTTCCCTATGTTCAGCGCTTCGTCCACGAACTGCCGGCAGACCACTTGGCCTTAATGACCGGGTGCGTACCATTCTATGTAGGTGACTATCCTTGACGGAGTCGAGTTGCAAGAGCAGTACGTGGCATGTAGAGTGAGACCATGGCCAACACTGGATGCCTCTGCCTGGGAAATGCTTAAGTTTCGCAGGACTGCCCTGGACAACAAGAATGCACGCACCCTGTTCCTGTACCGGATCGTTCTCAGACGGCCGGAGCAGGCTCGGCAGTTCTTGTTTACTGCTGTGTGTGCATACATGTATATGTATGTATGTATGTATGTATGTAGGTATGTAGGTATGTATGTATGTCTGTATGTATATATATATATATATGTACACGTTACATACATACATAAATACATACATACATACATACATACATACATACATATATCCACGCATGCATACATATGCATATGCAGATGTAGATGTAGATGTGTGTATATATATATATATCTTGTACACACACCTCTCTCTTTCTATATATATATAATTATATATATACACACACATATATATATATATACATATATATATATGCACATTAACCTCTCTCTCTCTCTCTTTATATATGTATGTATATGCATGTATGTATGTATGTATGTATGTATGTATGTATGTATATATATATACACATATACACATGTATAAGTTCCCGGGTCCCGGGCTAGAATGTCGGGCAGGGCAGCTTTGCATCTCGAACATGTCAAAGGTAGCTGGCACGTCGTCTTGATTTGCATGGCATGTTTTTGTATTTGAAACCGCAGGGGGGGGGAGCGACGGGTGTCAAGGCAATTATCCATGCGTGCGCCAGCGAAGGCTATCAATACCACAGCGACAGAGGCACCATCGGCAACGGAAAAAAGTCAAACCGCCACCCCTGGCGTAGGCACAATCGCAATAAGGATGACCATACTACTGCTAAATAGCTGCAAGCATACTTTTGTAAGCTTGTTACCTGTTCAGCAGCCATTCTGCGCCGAGCCAGCCACGATTACAGCCACAGCACTTACACGTACGCATGGGGCTCAGGTGCCGCAACCAACAAAAGCCGAAGTCAAGCATGCCTCAAGCGGCGGGGTCTGTCGGGGGCCGCCAGGGACCCCCCAGCTGATGCTCATGATGCTCGCCGTCCCTCGGGGCCCAGATGAGCGACCTAGATGCTCATGATGCCAGTTTTGTTCAAGAAATCTCTCCACACAGCACATCTGCAAAACTAGCAAAAGCCACTGTATTTACAGCGTTGTCATGTGTTGTCGCAGCCACAGACCTAGGCCGCGAATGAACAAACACGGAGCGGATGCATGTTTGAGCTTGTTCTGCCGACTTCGCCTTTTGCAGGGCGCTACTCAGAGCAAGCACGAAGTGATGGTGCACACACCAGTGCCTCGCGATCTGGTAGCTCCAGAGGACCGGCTAGACAGATAGCTGTGTCAATTCTGTGACGATATCGCTGCTGTCTCACATGCACTGGCGCCGATCTGGACAGAATGCTGGAAGCGATCTATCTTGCTTAGGCAGATTAACCTTCGTAAGCGGAGATGTCTTTTCACTGCTGTGGTCAAGCAAGGTGAGCATCTACAAGTCTGGTTGGATGAATACATGGCTTGCACAGGGGGCTGCTCGCATTCTTGGTTTCAGGAGGCCCCGGAGCTGGCCAGTCCCAGTCCCAGCAGCTCCAGCGACAAAGGTCCGCCGGAGGACGCTGGGGCAGAGAGCATCCCTTATAGGCCATAAAAGCTGGCATAGCCTGCACTTTCCAAGCGCAGCCAAGCCTGGGCCCGACCCGGCCGGAAGCCCTTCCCGTAGAGGAGGCGGATGAGCCGCCGGTGGTTGACGGCTGGGTGCGAGCCTCGAAGCACGGTGTTGCTCAAGTCCGAGTCCGATTTGCTTGGAGATCCTGACCGCACCGAGGCGAATGGCGCCCAGAGCGGAAGTGGCGCCGACGCCGAGGATGCCGAAGGTTGAGGTATTTGGGGTCTTGGCGAGCGTGTGGAATCCCCTCGGCTTCTATTTTCCCTCAGACCATCAGCATGACAGCAACAACAAGGATGAAGGGACATCAGTGGTGATATCCTCTCGTCAGGACAAGGTTGGCGATGGATCTGGCGACGGACTGCCAGCCGATTCGGCATCTGCCCCAAAGCTTTGTGAGCCTGCACCCGAAAAACACGTGATATTGAAGACACGAACAAAAACCGATCGGGCCAATACTGCACAGAGACACCCGGTTGGGAGATCTGTCGGACGCCGCCCGCCTCGGCTGCTGAGGGGCAGAGGGCACGGGACACACGTCGGTA